ACCCTAGCATTGAAGTGAAGGGACGCGTGCTTAATTCACTTAATTTGAGTGCTGTAATAAAGGGGCAGCAAAAAACATCTGAAGGCATTGGTCCCAAGAAGCCGACATCTGTGATCTGAGAGTATTTCCTCTCCCCTGATTACAGGACTGTGTGTTTGTTCTTTATTACAGTGAAAATGATCTGTTTGCCCAACTCTGTCTTCCTGATCTTCCAGTTTTCAGTGCAATGTGTGCAATGTAACTTGACTGCCTAGAATTGTTGCAACGTTAGGTAGGTCATTAAGGCATGTAATTAATTGTAAAAAGATAGCATCCCTTTTGGCACACAGCCAAAGCCAGAAAGTTATAGGCATATACAATGGTACCTCGGGTTACATACGCTTCAGGTTACAGACGCTTCAGGTTACAGACTCCGCTAACCCAGAAATAGTACCTCGGGTTAAGAACTTTGCTTCAGGATGAGAACAGAAATCGCGTGGCGGCGGCGCAGCAGCAGCAGGAGACCCCATTAGCTAAAGTGGTGCTTCAGGTTAAGAATAGTTTCAGTTTAAGAACAGACCTCTGGAACGAATTAAGTACGTAACCAGAGGTACCACTGTAATCTGAGGACTATTCAAATTTCTGAACATGGCTAATAATAACCTGTTATGATTTAAAATGCCCAATCCTGGTATTGATTCTGCGTCTGTGTGCTTTGCTGTATTCATTTGCCCTTATTCCCAAGAACAATTAGAACTGTAGCCTAATTGTACTGCTGTTTGTACAACTCTTACAGAGATAACTAGCTGCCCTAAATCTGAAACAAAACAAAATGCTAAATGCTTCCATATTGTGCTTTCTGAAACTGAAATGCTTTGGAATGAGTTAAAATGGTGTCTAGGAAAAGGTTTTAAGTCCTCTTGAGAATTTACAGTGACCATGTGGAAAGTTGACTTCCTGCACATAATCTGTGAATCTACCACTCCTTTTTCTGTTTGCAAAATACTGAAAAAAACACACACACTGAGAGAAAACATACAGTGATGCACAGGTGGGTTCTCTGTTTCCAGTCAACACATGAGGGAGGGGAAAGAAGAATCACACATCCCTCTTCATGGGTTTATTTATGTATTTATATATTATGTATTCAAAGCCATTTCTAAACAGCTTAATGTTTTCAAAATCTCTTTAGTAGTGCATGCTATGTACAATGTAAAAATATCCATGTGACTTGTGTTAAGTGTAGAATAACAATATTTTGAATACGGGTATGCAACTGGGTGTTTGATTTGGAGGTCTTCTTGAAATGTCACAGAAGCCTTCTTCAGAAATAATTAAATAAACACATGAGGAGGACAAGCAGGAGAAGCAGAGATGAGCGAACTAGCTCCTGCCCATTGCTGTTTTTGTTGCCCTCCAACTTGCGGAGGGTAATATCACCTATATATGTTTTGGAATGAATAGAGAAGGCACCCTTTGCTCTCCACTTGGAGCTGCCTTTGCCAGCCTGGGACTCCAGATGCTTTGAACTAAGGCCAGGGCTGATAGAAACCATAGTTCTAGATATCTGGAGGGCATCAGGTTGAAGCAGGTGGATTGGAGAAGGGGAATGGCAGCCAGGTGGGAGGGCAGAGCTAGTGTGTTGTCCCTCCCCCCCCTCTGTGCTTGCTTGACTCTTGATGGTGAGACTTGAAGAGAGCTAAAGACATAATGCAATGAGGGTGGTTTTTGTTCAAGAAATTGCAAGTTTCCTTGCATTTCAGGATCTCTAAGAGGCACCTGTATTGGGGTTTAGGAAGACATGCAAAATTTGTGTTCTTTTTAATTAATAAATAATTTGTAAGGCACATATTTAATTGGCCAAATACCTCTTGATAATAGGCGTACAGTTTGACCTGCTTTTGATGTATGAAAGCATTCCCTCTCTTTGAAGATGGATGTTAACACCCTTCCTTTCTTGGTCAGCTCTTTGAATTTCTAATTCATGGCTTGAAATGTTCCAAAACTATTAGCTATACCAGTCCGAAATACACTAAAAGACATACGCTTGCATATAGTGATGGAATAAATGCTATATTTAAGGTTTAAGCAATTTGTAGCTAGTATATGTCTGGTAAGATCTACACTTTAGAACTATGTGACCTGATTACACAATCCTGAATAGAAGGCTTCTCTTTAATCTTAGGCTGCAACCCAATATTATACACACCTCCCTGTTTGGTAGAACATCACATTGGAGTTTACTTCTGAACTGACCTTTATAGGATTACACAGTTAGCTGGTTGGATTACATATGTATTCATCTAAAACCAAATTGGATGAGGCTGCTCCCAAGACCAACTTTGTGCTCTTTTTTTTTTTAACCTATCATGTGGCAAGCACCCCCAGAATGACCTGGGTGAATGGTTGCAAGGGATGAACTTTTCTTAAATCAGTGTTAATCACTTTACTTTTACAAAGTGATTAAAGGTTCTTAAGTATTTGTACAGCATGTTAAAAAGCAGAGACATCACCTTGCCAACAAAGGTCCGTATAGTTAAAGCCATGGTTTTCCCCGTAGTGATGTATGGAAGTGAGATCTGGACCATAAAGAAGGCTGATCGCCGAAGAATTGATGCTTTTGAATTATGGTGCTGGAGAAGACTCTTGAGAGTCCCATGGACTACAAGAAGATCAAACCTATTCAATCTTAAGGAAATCACTGGAAGGACAGATCGTGAAGCTGAGGCTCCAATACTTTGGCCACCTCATGAGAAGAGAAGACTCCCTGGAAAATACCCTGATGTTGTGAAAGATGGAGGGCACAAGGAGAAGGGGACGACAGAGGATGAGATGGTTGGATGGTGTTCTCGAAGCTACCAGCATGAGTCTGACCAAACTGCGGGAGGCAGTGGAAGACAGGAGTGCCTGGTGTGCTCTGGTCCATGGGGTCACAAAGAGTCGGACACGACTAAACAACAACAACAACAACAAGTATTTGTACAACTATTTTGTGAAATGGATTAGTCAGGCTACTTGATTTGGTTGAGCTGGTGCCTGAATCAATTTCTTCGTCTTCGAAGTCCAGAAGCTCAGTCGTTGAACCTTTTGGGACATCTATTTACAGATTGTTCAATGCCCCACCACCTATCAGATCTCAGTTTTAACACTTGGTCAGTGATGGCATTTGACACATAATATATATTTGTTTAAGGGCTATGCTGAGCTAGTTCAGAGCTAACAGAGCTATCTATATTAAAAAGTTATTTCCTTTTCTTCATTGTGTGGACTTCAGCGACATTGGATTGTTCATTTCATTCATCTTAACTATTTTTACTTATCTTATTTTATTTATCTATATCAGGTGAAGGAAATGTTTAGAGGAGGAAAAACCCACCAGTAACTTCTGTACAGTATTTGCTTCTGGTATGGGAGAATGAGAGATACCTGTGGTGACATGGTTTGTTGCATTCCTTCCCATATTGAAGAGCCCATGTTATCACTGAAGCTTCTTAAAAGAGTTTTATTAAATTCTGTTTGATAGGCTATATTCACAGCTGAACACCTTACATAAGATAGCTTAATTATGGTTTAGCTCAAGGGGATAATTAAAACTTCAAGTCTGCAGATCAAGACTGATACGTGAATAAAAGTAGACTGATTTTGATTTTTCTGGTAGCATGCTGAAATGAATCTTATATTTCAGGAGGTATCGGATAGCAAAGCAAGGATATAAAAAAACTGCATATAGAACCCCTGGGTTGTAAAACAAAACGCCACTTCTTAATCTTATTCATTCCTTCCCAAAAAATCACTCTCTTGTCTCCCCATGCCAGTGGCCTCATGCAGCACATACATTCAGCATGAATTCATTTCCTTGTCAGTCCTTAGACTGTCTCTTCTCTTTTTCTTCCTTCTCCTTAACCTCCTCCTCACAACCCAACCTACATTCCTCAGGAATTCCCCTTCATGCACAACTTGTAATCTCTTTCCCTTTCTGGCTCCTGGACTCCTTTTACTAGAGTATGCAGCTTGCAGTGGTTGCAAAGGACAAGCCTTGGGGACAGTGTCATAGGTGACACAAAAAAGTTCCTTCAATCTGGCCTCGTGCTATTCCACCACTTGCAATTATTGTCAGTCTGGCACCGGATGATGAGAAATCTGCTGTACATTCTAGACAAAAAATTGATTTGATCCTTACTTTTGTATAGTATAGTAGGTTACATTTTGCCTCTGGCTGCACCAACTACTGCCATCTGGTTCCCACAGAGTTGTCCATGGGGGAATGCTGCCTCATGCTAAACAAAGATTTTCCCACCCTGGTTTTTTTTTTTTAAAAACCCTTATGTGATATAGTAGTATAAACACTGACAATTGGGAAACACTGGCCTGTGAGCGCTCCAGTTGGAGAAAAGCCTTTACCAAAGGTGTCATGGACTTTGAAGATGCTCAAACTCAGGACGAAAGGGATAAACGTGCTAATCTTACTCGGCTAGGAGTGATTGCCAAAGAAGAATGTGTATGTGTGTGTGTGTGTGTGTGTGTGTGTGTGTATACATATAACATACCACCACCCCTTTTCCAGTTACAGCCAGATTTGCCCTCCAGTGCCATATTTTTAAGAGCGTGCTTTAATTTTTGCCATTATCCAAAGTAGTCCCCTCCCCCCACTATTCCCAGATTTTGGTGCAATTCTTAAAACAGAAGCATTAAAAAATATATTACTACCATATCATATATCAGAAGTGCGCGATCAATCATTTTCTCCCTGCCTCTGGATGGGGTTGCCACCTCCCCCCCCCATTGGGTTCCTGTACCTTTAAACAGATCTGTCACAAGCAGAAATTAAACAGGTGCAGACCTTTAAGGCACCGCTGTTGTTTTTCTGCCTAGCCTGCAGCTGTTAAAGGCACAGGAGCCTGCTGGAAATGAAAGGTAACAATCCTAAGCTGGCTATACGTGGCTGTCTGCCATATGAACAATATTGGGTGCATCTATCTGTATTTGAATATTTAGCCACACCTAAAACTGGGAGGTTGGGGCGATCACTCTCCTGCGTTTATCCACTCGGAGTTCAGCAAGAAGTTGTTCATTTTAACAGCAAAGGAAGTTGTGCTATGTAGCATCTGGGTTCCTGGAGGGTTAAAAACAATCACCTGCATTTGAAATGAGACTTGGAAGTAGGAAGTGTTGCTGTGGCTTGAGCTTCCTGTATAAATAAGTGTAGCTTTCTTACAGCTACTGCATATGTGCGCGACGTGCATTTTAAGAAATAATGGCAACATGCTCTTAATAGCTGGGAGGAGATTATTCTTCGGAGCGACGAGACGGTTGAGAGATGAGCCTTGCTCCAGACCTATAACGTGTGAAGCTTTCAGATGCTGGGAGAAGGAAGGAAGCGGCGAGAAATGAAACGCGTTTCTTCAGACTCTGAGCTTTTGCTGGCGGTGACATGTCTTGGAGGCGCTGAAGTGTGAGTGAAGCTATTGAAAAGTCAAACGTTTGGGAGCGAATCCTGCTCTCTTTTGGCAAGGTATGCTGGGACGATCTGCATTTCTTTATAGCGGGGGCAATTAAGTAAGGGCTGTCGTTTTCCTTTCCAGTTCCTAAAGAGGAAAAGGAGGTGAAACCCAATCATTTTGGGTACTTGTTTTTTTTTTTTAACATACACAGCCAGCACTGTAGTTCATCTGAGGCAAAAATGGGTTTCTTAGAAATTAAATGCCAATTAACTGCAGTAACTTATGCACTTTCTTTGCTAGGGGTGGTGAATTATGTTGGTTTTATCAGTATAGCTTTGCAGAAATAAATGCTCACTTGTGTGGGGAAAACACTGAAAAGTCTTTAAGATGATTTCAAACCAAGTGATCATTTTAAATTTGTTCACTCCTAATGAAAACTTCAATTCTGTTCTTTAAATAAAAGGACGATCTGAAAGATGCTAAGGAGAGGATCTATTTGAAAAGATACATACGTTGTGTTTGTGTCATGTAATTTGCAGCACAAGTCCATAAATACCTTGCATGGTGGAACTATGTCTGACTATAAAGACATAGTTTTTTGTTTTCTCTAATTGTTTTTTTTAAAAAAAATAATTATTAATGTTCAACAATTTAAACACAACACTACAAAAAAACCAAAGAAAAACAATACAATACCGTACAAAAAACACTATACAACACTAACACAAACAATTAACAAAACAAAACAAAAACCATTCAAAACACAATCCAATTTCAATATCTTATCTTTCATTCACATGTTTCCACGACCTCCTCACACCTCCCTTTTTGTCTTCCACTTCTATTAATTGTTTCAGCAATTCCTCTCCATCTTCCTCTATTTTCTATCCTATAATTATCTTAACACATTCTAACCTTATTTTTCCCTTTAATACCCTATTAATCTATCTATACCTAATTCCTTATAACATTTTTACTAAAGCCATATAACTTCATTCCAACATTTTTCTAACATTGATTGTTTTCTCTAATTGTTTTTAAACTTCAGGAATAACATACAGAATATACATATTTTTAGTTCCTATTGTAGTTTTACTATTCTAGGCAGAAAATGAAAGCCACATGCTTATGTGTCTGCATATTTATAGTAATTTTGGATACAGTGTCTTGTTCCATCATCCTAATGTGAAGTGCCTTTTGCACTTTTCCTGTGAATGACTGTTGCTTTAAGAGTTTGCTTCACAGAGTGTAAGTCAGTTATAATGCCCTGAACTCCAGTTAAATATCTTGGAAGGTTTAAAGAAATTGTGTAGTATGATTTCTCTGCCTTAATATGTGCCAGATATATTTCTGAAGATGCGGCTTCAGTATCTGTGATTGTGGGGATCTACTATTGTGGAATTTCTGTTCTTCTTTATGCCATGTTCACCTTAGCTGATAAACTGGGAATAAATGCAACACATGGGAAGAGGAGAATGATTATTGTGCCTGCTGGACTTACACCTGCAGGGGCCAGGAGGTCTACACTCATAGGTTCTGAATGTATGATTCCTATTTTCCTTTCCTGCAGGGTACAGGATATGTGTTCATAGTCTATGTCAGGGTCCTCAAACTCAGCCCTCCAGATGTGTTGAGACTACAATTCCCATCATCCCTGACCACTGGGATCATGGGAGTTGTAGGCCAAAAACATCTGGAGGGCCGAGTTTGAGGAAGCCTGGCCTATGTGCATTGGAGGTATGTTGGGACTTTTGCACATAAATTAGTATCAGTGTCTGAGGTTCAGAGGCAGGATCTGCAGGTGTAAGCCCCATCTTGCCTTCCATGTGTACATTAAATTGAGCTTGGACACCTGTACAGGACTCTCTGAGTGAATGCAGTCATGGAATCATAGAATCGTAGAGTTGGAAGGGATACCAAGGGTCTCGGCTAAAGCATCCATGAAAGATGGCCATCCTACCTCTGCTTAGAAACCTCCAAGGAAGGAGAGCTCCCAACCTCCTGAGGGAGGGCATTCCACTGTCGAACAGCAGTCCTACCCCTCCAGAGCAGGAGAAAAGAAGCTTGTTCCCTCTTCCATGTGACAGCCCTTTAGATATTTGAAGATGGCTGTTGTATCTCTTCTGTTTCCTCTTTTCCAAGCTAAACACACCCAGCTCCTTCAACCGTCTCTCATAAGTCATGTTGCTTGGGCAGCAATCCCTTTTTAAGCTGAATACTGTGGGTTTGGAGTTGTGATGAAGAGCGGCTGTTTCCATTGGGTGGCTTGAGCAAAGTTTGAGCAAATGATGTGACAAAGTTTCTGCCAGTTACACTTTACAACATATCCAAAAGGTTTTCTAATAGCATCCTCTTTCACTGTCGATTCAGCTTCTTTTTATTCTGCAAGCAACCTAAAGAAAGCTGGGCATGACTTCTGTGATTGCTTCCCCCAAAGTCTTTATTCATCAGGTGAAACCTTTGGTCTGAGCTTGTTTACCTTTGTTTGGTGCTCTGAATGGAGCGGGCTCTTAAACTTGTGGTGCATTTCTGTTCTTCTAATAATCTGATAGCTAGAGTCAGAGGAGCTCTGGTTCTCTACTCTGTCTCCAGAACGACCAGCATTATGTTCTTCATTTCTAAACTGAGCTCTTGGGGATGTGTCACTTAGTGGGTTTTCCCATTAACTACTTTGGGCAGTGAGTGTCTTGTCTTCTCCTCACCTCAGAATGAACTTCTGGTTTCCTGGAGCCTTGTTTTCAGTGGAAGGATGCCAGAGTTAGTCAGTAGGTACCAAACCACATGGTGACCAGAGTGAAACCACAAGGCGAAGCAACACGATGAAACCACAAGGTGCAGATACATTAAGGGCTTTAGTACACTCAGACCTGAAACTCTGCCCCTTTCTTGGCAAACAGCATGCTGATATTATGTGGCATGCGAAAGGTGCTGATCTTGGTTCCCAGTCAAGTTAAATGAGCTGGAATTGAGAATTGGATCAGGTTTGCCAATTGTATATATCAGAGCTGGATAGCTTTTCTTTTCTTTCTTTCTTTGGTATTGTAATTTTATGTTGTGAACCACTGTGAGATCTATGGGTATAGGGCAGTATACAAACAAACAAATTGTGATGGTGGTGGGAAGAGTTCAGTCCTCCCTCTACCTCCCAACCCCTCCAGCAGAATTAAGTTATAGGATGAGTAAAGGGGAACATGGCAGAAGGCCATTGGGAGGACTAGACAAGAATTGCTTCCGGGAGCCACAGAGTAACCATGATAACTGGAAGACATGCCTGGATGCCCCTTTGCATACGAGCAATAAACCTGAAATGGTCTGCATCACCTTTCCTGGCTGTGCCCTTTTACAACCACGAGAGAAACTTGCTCTGTTTTTAAAAAGGAAAGTTGATAGCCTTGTTATTTTTTCTAAAAAAAACCTCCCAGTTCTACTGTTTGCTCTATTGCTTGCTCACCTAGTTTATAAAGTTGCTAGGTTGGTCCTGTATATATGCCTCTGAGCACTGGACTTTGGCATCTTTGGGAGAACATTGTCTACGTTTTGAAAATAAACTGTAGTAGGCAAATAAAGAGAAGCCTGATGCCTTGACCATAGCCAAGAAGGCAGGTGTTCTTAGCAAGGAATGCATTCACTGGCAACAAGCTCTTAATCTGTACTGACTGAAATTTAGTAGAACACCAGAGTTTTTGACTGTAAAGATTGACTCCTACTAAAAATGCAATTTCTGAGTGCTATTGAATCACTGGGGTAAGGTTACAGCATTTACAAGCATTTATTTATCTGCCAGTGCCAAATACCTTTGTTCTGAGTTTTCATTGTCTTTGTGTTGCACATTAGCTGGGCCTTGCTTTAACAAGATATCATCATCATCATCACAATAATCATTTTAAATTTATACCCTGCCTTTTCTCCTGACAGGGACTCAAGGCAGCTTACGGATAGAAAATAATTAAAACATAGGAGGGAAAATCATTAAAAACAATTAAACATAGATAGAATTAAAAACTATCCATCCATCTACATAGCATATAGATATTTACAGTAAAAACCACATTAAAGGTAAAGGGTAAAGGGACCCCGACCATTAGGTCCATTCGTGACCGACTCTGGGGTTGCGGCGCTCATCTCGCTCTATAGGCAAAGGGAGTTTATCCACAGACAGCTTCCATGTCATGTGGCCAGCATGACTAAGCCGCTTCTGGCGAACCAGAGCAGCGCACAGAAAAGCCGTTTACCTTCCTGCCAGAGCGGTACCTATTTATCTACTTGCACTTGACGTGCTTTTGAACTGCTAGTTTGGCAGGAGCAGGGACCGAGCAATGGGAGCTCACCCCGTCACGGGGATTCAAACCGCCGACCTTCTGATCGGCAAGTCCTAGGCTCTGTGGTTTAACCCACAGCGCCACCCACATTACCAGCTACATAATATGAAATTGATATTGCTGAACATTGCCAAACTTGGGCACACCTGCTTGTTTTTATGTATTCCAATACACACAATTTCTGTGGTTTCATGGGAATAGCTTGATGTGGGGGGGGGAGAGAGAGACAGAGAGAGAGAGAGAGAGAGAGACAGAGAGAGAAGGCGGCGGCGGGGGGGTGTCTCTTCCAAATTTCATGTGATTACTAGGACCCTAAGCTGAAGCTCCAATGACCACAATAAAAACAACCAAGAAATGCAGGAAGGAACCAATATAAGCAGAGTAACATGCAAAGTTTAGAGAAACTAAATTCCTTTATTCTGTTTGGGTCCTTTTTCTGTAAACAGGATCTTTAACTGTAGCAGCATTGTTACTTTTTGCTTTCTAGAACAGTAGTTGTATTGGTGTGTTGGACCAAAAAAATCCCTTGTATGCTTACTTGGGAGAGTAAACTCACTAGGGTGGGAAAGACCCCCATCTGAAATCCTGGAGAAGTACTGCCAGTCACTATAGACAGTACTGAGATTGATGGACTAATGGTCTCGTGCAGTATAGAAAGTTGGAAGGGACCCCAAGGGTCATCTAGTTCAACTCCCTGCAATGCAAGAATCACAGCTAAGGAATCCCTGGCAGGTGGCCATCCAACATCTGTT